ACATTTTGTTTTCCTTCGCATTTTCTGTTTTCTTCGTCTTCGTTTTTTTTTCTTTGTTTTCGTAGCTCCTATTTACATATTCTAACATCAAAGGCATATTTATTTGTATTACTTCTGCTATAGTTTATGGTAATCAGGGAGAACGTATAATGGACTTCTGTCGACTCCATCGTTAAGATTACATATTCCTGAATATGTTCGTCTTTATTACTTTTTTTCACTTTAAATAAATACAAGACAAGCCACCATCACACTCTTAGAGGTTGACTTTCTGGCATGTGGAATCTAATATCTGTCCGAAAATGAACTTTGCGCCCATTAAACGGCAAAACAGTGCAATTTTTGTGATGGCGAAAAGGCGTCGCATCGTGACATCTTTAGATCGAAGAAATGCAATTAACTTATAGAAATCGACTGTCCAACTATGAGAAAATTAGTGAGTGATTCGGTGACCTTTTTTGCAAAACGTTTTCGAATTGGAGAAACTTTCAGTAAATTTCTCCAAAGCTGAAGAAATTTCGGTTCAGAAAAGAGGAAGAACGTTTTTCCCATTTAGCGACATCAAACATCACAGATTATTACTAAAAACCAATTTTTTGCTTATACTGGCGACATAGTCAGAAGTATAGTTTTATCTGAGCCGATCAGAGAGCACAAATCAATTCAGAAAAACGTCAGCTGTTGAAATGCAGAATTATGCGTTTTTTTTGTGTAGATTATCCAGATAGATCTAAAACAGTGGAAACATATCAGAAGAAAGGATGTCGAGTCTATCTTTAGACCTTACCCTTCCAGCACAAATATTTGACACTAGAACCTGTGATTACGTCTCCTTTATATCGACGCAAGATCCTCACGAAAAAAAATGTTCCTATCTTTAAGTGCTATAGCGTTTTTCTTGAAGAATTCGCCCACTTTCTGGAAGAAATCAAATTGTATCGACACACTGCAGCTGGAAAAACTGAGTGCGCGCATACGCTGTACGAAAATATCTCACTGGAAACGCTAAGAAAAGGCAGATAATTAATTAGAGTTATTTGGCGCAAAATTCACGTTTCTTTTTTGCGCTCGGGTCTGTTTCTCTCGTAAATTCTAATTAGAGCTTTTTCTCAAGAACTGATGCAAGAAACTGCACTTTTTCGTATTATTTTTCATGCAGCCAGACAGTTTTCGAAACCATACAGCCGGATAGAGCATAGCATTCTAAGGAAAATAAGACATCTCCGGGCGGTCTACAGTGCTTTTTCACGTCACTGCAGTCGATTTACGAATGGTTACAAAGGGCGCGCAAATTTTCAAACAAATCTGGTGAAAACGCATTGTAGATCGTCCGGAGAAGTCTTATTTTTCTCAGAATCCTATACTCTATCCGGCTGTATGATTTCGAAAACTGTCTGGCTAAAAACCAAGAGCTTTGTTTTCTAGCGGTCAAGTTTTCCAGAAACCCTATTATTAACTTTTCTCATGAAACGGCAATACGCACCTCATGTGATAGAAAAATCTTCGGCCTATTCAAAAGAGTATTCAAATTGATTCCAACCTTTACTAAAAGATCACAAACAGAGAAGTTCTTTTGATTATGACACATTGCACTGCATATATAACACCCGAACGCTTCTTTTTCATATCTTTACTCACTGGCCCGACCTGTCTTGGCATTCTGACCAGTTCAATCTGTGGAGAATTTCAAGGGCTATCCAATGGTATGTCTTTGAACAATATATAATGTTTCATTATGGCAGAAAAATGGCTAAAGCAGTGTTAAAAGCACTAAGATAGATAAAAATCCCTATATCGGCCACGTATTTCGACTATTGACCCATGCGGGGATACTTTTGAAAGACTTATTTATATTTTATTTTGAAGCCCGTGAAATTTTATTACCCGAAATTAATACTCTTTTGTTCTCTATATCTTTTAGATTTCTTTTGACATTATTTAACATTTATCACGAAGTGCCGAATTGTGTACAGCGAGAAGATCAAATCGAGAGGTAAAGATAATTTGGCAGAGAGTAGCTCCTTTACATAGCTTTTATTTGCAGACGGGCTGGTTAAATACATCAACGACAGGGCAATTAAGAAAAATAAAATTGGTCGAATTATAGTTCTGTCAGTGCAAATTTATGAAAAAAATTATCAACTTTTGTTGAAAAAGGTAAAAATAGAATGAGCTTTCAGTCCCAGTATTAATCGTAGCGTTGTTCTACTCAGGATTAGAAGACGGTGTTAATTCAAAACCATATCCAGATTCAACTAATTCATCGCGGAGATATCGGTTGGAAAGGAATGAAAATGGTGCCACTTCGTTACGAGTGATTATACCCCCACCGAAGCCAAGAGAAAATCAAAAAAAGATGCAAGAAGAGACACGTATGTAGGAAAGGAACATATTTATCACCACTTCTGCATGGTCTACTGTATTTTTCAGGAGATGTGATTTTGCTGACTCGACGAAAAGAAAAGTGATTTAATCGTCAAAGAAGGATTACAACATATGGAAGAAACTGGCTCATTGTCGATTAATCAATGTTAGAAAAAATTGAAAAAAAACTACTTCATTAGTGAAGAACGTGTTGCTTTTACTCTCAATATTGTGTAAGGAAAAATGCTTGTTGAACTAAGAAATTGTATCTGTGTTTATTTTAGTGGACATTTAAATTTGGGTCTATTCAAACTAGAGAAAGTTCCACATCAACAACAGAAAAATGTGACAGATGGTAACGATGGAGAGACGGAAGCAAAAGAAGACAGTAACGATAATAAAGGTAAGAGTCTCCACTAGAAAATGCATGATATTTCTCGTTGTAATTTGCAATTTTTAGATGATGAAGAGGAAATACCAATGACAGACGATGACGAAGACAAAACACCAATGAGAGATGATGATGAAGAGAAAAGAGAAAACACCAATGACATATAATGATGATAACAAGAAAACACCAATGACATATGATGATAGGAGTAATAATGAGCGATGAAAGTGATTGAGCGTCGGTGTGGTGAGGATAACTGTGTGTGGTATGTTTGTATATTGATGGGTGTTTCATATCTATAATCATTTGCATGGTCTGTTCGTTAAGCTGTGATTTTTGATTGAATAAGATTGTGAAAACTCTTATTACTCAACAGTAAATTTATCAGTAAAGGTTGGAATCAATTTGAATACTCTTTTGAATAGGCCGAAGATTTTTCTATCACATGAGGTGCGTATTGCCGTTTCATGAGAAAAGTTAATAATAGGGTTTCTGGAAAACTTGACCGCTAGAAAACAAAGCTCTTGGTTTTTAGCCAGACAGTTTTCGAAATCATACAGCCGGATAGAGTATAGGATTCTGAGAAAAATAAGACTTCTCCGGACGATCTACAATGCGTTTTCACCAGATTTGTTTGAAAATTTGCGCGCCCTTTGTAACCATTCGTAAATCGACTGCAGTGACGTGAAAAAGCACTGTAGACCGCCCGGAGATGTCTTATTTTCCTTAGAATGCTATGCTCTATCCGGCTGTATGGTTTCGAAAACTGTCTGGCTAAAAACCAAGAGCTTTGTTTTCTAACGGTCAGATTTTCCAGAAACCCTATTATCAACTTTTCTCATGAAACGGCAATACGCAGCTCATGTGATATTTTTGAGAAAAAGAACAGCTTTTAGCTTAATTTTAGGCATGTCAGTCATTTTGAATTTCTGTTGTTTAGCGCACAGAACCAGTTAAACCCTATCCCGTTCGTATAATACTTTTCAGTTTTGAAATAGTAAATTGACCATTACAAATTATTTCTTTTAAAGTTAGATAAGTCAGATAGAATGAACAAAGAGCAAAAAGTCGAATATCCGTGTTTAGGCGCGAAAATTCATTTGGTGAAAATTACAGCTACTGTGGCGCTCGGTCAAAAACTCAAGATGGAAGTAGAAGAAGCCGGCTGTCGGATTCGCCGTAAAATTCTACATCTAAAACCCGCGTTTGGCTCATTCGGTTCAGCGCAGAGTTTGCGCCTAGTTTTCCAATGCATTAAAAAACTTTTTCGTTCTAAAAGATTTGTAGCACATCAGTCTTCATTTGTCAAATGTGCTCAATGGCTAGAAAACAGTACCGAATGTTCTCTATCTGACTTAGACAGGGATGATATTGAGCTACTTGAATGTGGTCTTGAATCTTTTTTATAGTTCAATTGTCAGATATATGTAGCGTGTTTCTTTTCTTTTTTATAGATTTTAATCAAGTACGTGTCGAGGATATATTACTTGCTTTTCAGTAAAATACTAGATCAAATCAATCATTGTTTTGTTTCGTGTTGACCAGTTATGTATAAAGAGCACAGTATAAGCTCAGCTTGTACTGTGCTCAACAGTTTTATCAACAGAGTTTTCGTTACAAATTTTTCGAGGGGGGAAAGTTTAAGGCGTTAAAAAAACTAATTCCACAGCATCTAGCTGATCTTTGCTCCTCTATCCATGCTTTGTAGTCCTCATTTGTAAACGAATGTTCACTATCATCGAGTTACTCCCAGTTTTTGCAACAAAAATCTATTTATGACAAAAGTGCTCACCAAAAAAAAACAGTGATGAACAAAAATTTCTCTCGTTTAATGTTTTTTCTAACTTCTTTTAGCTTACTTTATCAGAACATTACTTAATCCGTTTTATTTACTCTGGGTCTTTGATCTACTTCAAGATTGCTTACTCCGAGTGCCACTTACTCGGAGTAAGTGGTCTCCGAGTAAGTGATTTTGGAGTAACTTACTCCGAAATCACTTACTCGGCGGGGGGGAACACTGTATATCGATATGCAATGCCGATATATATGGATAGATGAATTTCGATAATATAAAAAACTGGTTCATTCCCAAACTCCTCACACTTTCACCCACCGCCTTTGAAGATTCTTTGATCTCAATTTGAAATTAATTAAAAGTGTGCGAAGATCGGGAAGTAACGATATAATTTGTTCTCCTTTGACTTTGTTCATGAAAGAGAAATGACGTATTATATATTTATATATATACGCATGCATATCAGTGAAATACATAAGAACGATCGATAGGATCAATAGGAAAGACAAGGCAAAACGGCGTCTCAGAATATCACTCTCATTACTGGGATACAAACCCGCATATCGTTCCTTTAAAAAACTAGTCATTAAGCTTTTGTATGATTTGTTCTATTTAGGTTCGATTAACTAAGAAGGCGATATCAGTTACTCCGAAACGTACTCGACAATCTACATGTCATACCTCACCAAAACGGACAAAGCCGTCCTATACTGGGGATAATGCTGCTCGCATTTCCGATGAGCAGTTGTTTCCAAGATAAATCAGAGAATCACTGAATGACATCAGGTAATTACCTATGTAATTAAGTTTCAGGTACGAGCTTCGCGATCGATCGAAATTGATCAAAACATCTTACGGCCATATGGTATATTGTGACTCTAAGGATGAGGAAGAAGATGATGAACTTACAGATGATGAGCTATTATTAAACGAAAAACTTCTACATTTCTTGAAACTCAAAGATCAAAATAATAACACCGATGAAGCTATTAGACTTTTTAACATATTAGAATTACAATATGGAATCTGTCCTACATTACGTCAGTTGAAAAAGTTAAGAGCAGCACTTAATAAAAATATTTCTGTTAGGAAGTGTAATAACGGTAAGTTCAGTCGTGACGAAGTACAAATGGAAATCTATGTAGACTGTCTGCTATCTGTACAAGGATCTGTCAATGAAACTATACAACATTGTACTTTTTCTAAAAACTTTTAATCGGCTGATCAGATTATAAAAACTCATATTTTTCGTTTACAGGAGCATACCTAAATGTGAACCATGCCGTCAAATTATTAATTCATAGTGATCGATCGATAATAGATAATCCATCAGACGAAGTTATTCATATTGAACATAATATGGATGGTACGACAATAGAGGCATCCACAAATTTTTTTATGTCAACAATCAGTTGTGTTGAATCTGGTATTAATAAACAATCGGCTACAAACGTTATACCGTTAGGACAATTTAAGTTTAACAAAGAAAATCGTAGTGAAATTGAACGTGTAGTACCAGATGAATTTATAGATATGATGGAGAAGAAATTAGTTTGTTTAAAGAATTTGAAATTTGAATTAGACTTCCAGATGTCTTTAGATATGAAAATGATGTGGCAAGTTATGGGACTATATGGTATAACAGGTAATACAAATTAAACGCTATATCGAAAGGGTTCGCAGAAAATAAGGGTCTAGTGATCAGAGTAACTCCATTTCCTTCATTGTAGGACAAAACAAACATAAATGTCCTCATTGTACAGCCGCGAATATGGCCGAATTTGGGAAATATTCGGCATTTGACTCAGCGAAGGGTGCCCGAACATTGGACCAGCAATACAAAGAAATCGGAAAATCTAAACCAGGTTTTGGATACCACCATGCACCTTTTTTTCCGCAAAAAGTTACAGTAAGTTGAAGGACCTCTGGGCCACTGTGTTAGTCATTTTGAAAATGTCGCGTCACTTCCTTGCTCGATCTGTTCTTAAATTTACATCAAGTGATACAATTCTTTAATTTAAGCTACAAACAACTTATCACTGATACATGATACCTTACTAATCTCGTATATCATTTCGATATCGTATATCAGTTTCGAGATGAATCGGATATGTAAGAAGAAAAAAGAATCTATTTACATATATTTATATTTCTACATTTTAGATGATGAATCATTGTTATTAAATTCACAAGAGCAAACACTGAATTCACAGTCGAATGCTCGTTATTATAGATTTAATAAAACAGCAGATTTATATGAGCAAAGGAAAAAATGAACCAACCGATCAACATAGCCGAAAAAGTACTGCAGCTATTCCTGCGCTACTGTACGGGATTTCAGATATTCAAAAATGTGATTCGTGTTTTATCTGCCGTTGAGCAATACGTTATATTCGAAGACGGGCATAACAAATTTCGACAAATAGACGAAAATTTTAGGGTAGCGCTATTGCCACTCTCTGAGAGTGTCAACAAGAGCTATTGCCACTCTCTGAGAGTACGACAAAATTCTTTATTATGTATCAAAACTTAATTGTCCTACTTTATTTATTGTTAGTGTTTTCTTAGTCCTGCCGACGTTGATAAACAATGGAAACCAATAGCAATGCAAGCACTGATTCATGCTGACCTCCACAACTTCAATAACCAGTTGTGCCTTAGGAAAAACAATCTTAGAACTTCAATGTTAAGAAATTCATAAAGTGTACTGGAACTTACGCCCAAAAGTAAAAATACGACGGCTCCTGTTGACATCCTCAGAGAGTGGCAATAGCCCTTGTTGACACTCTCAGAGAGTGGCAATAGCCATTCCGAAAATTTTATCATACATGCACAATTAGCTATCAAACGTCTGTTTTTGTAAATTGTAAGACTTCTGAGTTTGCAGCTATATTATTTATGTTATGTGTTGTACGGATTCAGTTTCGAAACTGATGATCGTTATGAAGCATTGAAATGTGAAGTACAATTAATGAAAAAACGATTGTTAAGATTAGAAAAGGTGTATGCCACATTAAAAAAAGTAAACTGCGTCATCGTTTCGAAGAAAATATTTTTAAGCTTCTGTTTTGCTTTAGGTATTATCTGCTGGTCCATCATCGTTAGATTTTACGCAAAAGATCAGTAAGTTGTTCTTAGCCTGTATCGTCTCACATATTACTGTAGTATTGTCTCCTTGTCAGGATATATTTAATATCAATGCAACATCTATTCGTTCGCCTGCGAATAGACCAACGATGGTAATGCGAGAAATTTATACAAAGTCTGGACATGAACCCAATCAATGAAGAAAATATATTGAACCAAACCAAAGTGTATTACAAGGTAGCATAAAAGAAAGAATATTGATACAACAGAAGATGACGAAGAAGACAAGAGGAACGATGGCACAATGGAATAATTAGGGGAAAACACTCATTGTATTGAAGTTGCATGAACTCAACAATTAGTATTATGTTGAAAATAATGTGAGAACTTTCGATTTTATTTCTTCAGCTACTTACGAAAAAAGAAACTACAATACACAGTGCCGTGGCTAAAGGGGGTGTGTGGGGGGGTGTAAGCTCCCCCTGCTTCTGGAAAAATTTTCTCTTTAATAGTTTTTCCTTTCTCTTCAATAATTTTTCCTTTCTCCTTAGAATTCTGCTGCTTTTTTTTTTAGAGTTGAAAGGTAGCTGCGTTTTTTTTTTAGAGTTGATCTCTCAGAAAAAATGCACACCCCTCCTGCTTTTTTCTCTCGCCACGGCACTGACGATACATATATACCATAAAGTTATCTTCTTTTCTTTTCTTCTGTTCTGTCTTCGGTTGTACGCAGTCTCCAAAAGAAAAAGAAAAGAATAGAAGATAAATTTATGTATACGTTGCGATAGAAATTAAAAACTGCTAGTAGAAATTAAAATCAACATATTCACACACAGGAAAACTCAATTATTCAGCTTTAAAGCTCGAATTTTAGTTTTCTGAAAAGCATACAATGTTTATGGATGTCAGGTGAAGATCATGATCGTGAGTGCGAGTCCCAAAACTACAACTTGTGAGCAGAATTTGACTCGTAAACGTTTCGTGCGAGTCCTGTTCTTTTTTTATAGAAAATTGGATTTTTGTATACCGTTTTATGAGCTAGTTTCAAATATATTAAAATGCTCTTTATATGAAATAAGAAGGTTGTAACTCCCCTAGTGAAACTTCTTGTACCCAAGATCTTGGGTTAAGAAATTTCAAGATCTTGAGTGGGATAAGCCAAGATGTTTTCAAGATCTTGTTACCAAACTTATATCTAAGATATTGAAAAAGTTCATAGGAACAAAACAAGTGAATAAACAGGAACTACGAGTTTTCCTGTTTGTGAATATGTTGATTTTAATTTCTACTAGCAATTTTAAATTCTAGTGGATTTTAATTTCTGTTGCAACTTATACATAAATTTATCTTCTATTCTTTTCTTTTTCTTTTGGAGACTGCATACAACCGCTTCCAAAAGAAGAAAAGAAAAGAAGAAAACTTTATGTATATATGAATCGTAGTTTCTTCTTTCATAAGTAGCTGAAGAAATAAAATCGAAAGTTCTCACATTATTTCAGCAGAATACCAATTGTTGAAGTCATGCAATTTCGATAACAGAAAGATTAAATTTCTTTTGTTTGTGTTTTGATTATTATTCGTAAAAAAAGTCATCTTTCTGTGATTTTCTCTACATATAAAATAATAAAAGATAACTAAAGATAGAGCATATCCTTAAAGCAGGTTACAAACGGGAAGACAATATCTATTGCATTTATCATTTCAAACTGGGCAATACAATGTGCTGCGTAGTTCCTGTTTATTCACTTGTTTTGTTCCTATGAACTTTTTCAATATCTTAGATATAAGTTTGGTAACAAGATCTTGAAAACATCTTGGCTTATCCCACTCAAGATCTTGAAATTTCTTAACCCAAGATCTTGGGTACAAGAAGTTTCACTAGGGGAGTTACAACCTTCTTTATTTCATATAAAGAGCATTTTAATATATTTGAAACTAGCTCATAAAACGGTATACAAAAATCCAATTTTCTATAAAAAAAAAGAAAGTTCCAGGTTTAGTCTTCCTAAATTTTTTTGACATGCAGATTTTTTTAAAAAAATTGGCTCCTTTATAAAGTATATTTTGATTGAGGATGTCCATTATTTCTGCTCAAGTGTTGTCTTGAAACCAAAAGAACTTTCTACAGTTGAATCATGCCAGCTTCATGTTCCCTAGCAAACTCATGAGGTTCGTGCAAAAGTTCTATTGTCTGAAACGGTACAAAAATCTAAAAAAGTGAACAATTATTTGTGTGATTCAAAAGTATTTGAAATTCGAAATTAAATACTACTATTAGTATTTCTTGTAATTGTAAAAGTGTCAATAGTCGGTCACTAAACCATAGTCACTTTAGAAACCAATAAAAATTAGTTCAGATCTTAATGTAAGTTATGATAGTATTTTACAGATTTACCGATGAACATCAGCGTACTGTGTTGAATGAGCTGCTTTCCATAAGACGCTGATGATTTCCATAATATCCATTACCATCGTAGCGTGGCGACGACGAATATGGCTTTCTGTGACCCTGATCGTTGAATGTCACATAACCATTAACAATTTTGCGACGTTCACGCCTTTTTCCAGCTATATAACCACCACCAAGACCAAGACCAAGAGCACCAGCTGCAAGTATTAGACCCAGAACCATTCTAAGACAACTACAGAAGAAACCTAAAGCAGAAAATATGTAAGTCTATTAGAACAGGAGCAAAACTTCTACAGATGAGGAGACATCTTTTATCTAATTTGTCCTCACTACCAGCATTTGATGAAGACATTCTGGAACACTAGACTAGACGTTTTACATCTCTCTTGTTCTATGTGTGCGACTATCAATGAAAGTCCAGACAATCCACACAATTCTACATTTTCCCTATGGATTCTAGGTGAACTATCTCAGAAGCTATAAGATCAAATGTCTAAGTTGTTCTAAGACAGGAGACCTAAGAAACCTAGACAATTCTATAGAATCCTAGACCACTACTCGTACTCACCAACTGAGGTACAACTTGAGTGTATGGAATTCCAGAGAATTCTACACATCGGTAGTCATCTAGAATCCTATAGAATGTCTGAAATGTAGGAACTCTGATATCCCCCGGCGTTCATCGAAGATTTATTAGGGTCTCAAAAGCTAACTGTTCAACAAATTAGGAGATATTCTTTAATCACATAAGCTAACAATATATCATTCATAGTGATAAAACGAGCATTTCTGATCAAAATTAGATCCTCAACTCGAACGATGCTCCTAGAAAATGTTGGTAAAATTTTGCTGCAAGTTCTGACACATACATCATACACCAACGTCATTACTGTATCTTAAAATCGTTTTTTCACCTTTAGTGCATCTATTATTTGCAAAATTTCTCCGTACAACTTACAGCTGGAGTTAGTCTCTGGTTAGTCTTAAACTAAAGCTAGTACATGTGGCTGGAGGACAATAGAGTTCGCTGTATAGATTTCGATCTGCTATTAATAAAAAGTAATGCAATATCAAAAGTCATGCTCAATCAGCCTATAGGTACATGTGTTTTCTGTAGTTAACGACCAATCTAATCTTTCTAGCTGTTAATCTGACATAGAAATTTTATAGATATGAACAGTTTCATCATGAGTCATACTGGGAAGATATTTCAACAACACAAACAAATATCAATGTAGAAAATAACTACCGTGAAACAATTAACATCAACGTTCTAGTGAACATCCTATTGGCTGAAAGTCTTTCAACACTAATGACTAATGAATATTTTCACTCTACATAATATATTCGTCGCGTATGCAGTGATAGTATTAATAACTATTTTTTTTATAAAAACAGAAATACAGGTGATATTTTATGATTTATATGCTCAAATTGCGCACACCCAGCTGAAGAAAAAACGTGCGTCATTATCATGCACGATAAACAAGCAGTGTAAATCAACACAATATGTTCGTTTTCTTACTTCAGGTGAGCCATAAAATGAAAGACGAGCACCTCTACGGTTCGGTCCTATTCTGATGAATAAATCAATGATAGTTAATTATATCACTTTAAGTGAAAATTCATCGAGTGTTCAATGATAAATAATTTATCATGTCTGCTAACAATAGAGTTTTGTTATGCGAAAGAATATTTTGAGGGTCAGTTGTACAAAAAGGCTTTCGATCGAGCGTACGGTATAGTTTTTTATCATTTTCTTACAAATTAAAAATTAAAATTTTTGATATCCTCATCCAGATATAGGTTTTTTTGATATCCCAATCGAGACATCGAATTATATCCTGATCGGGGCTAAAACAAACACAGACAGCAGAGAATAATCAACTAAATTTTGAACAGGAAATGATCATTACCGTCTAAGTACTTTTTATTTCACCGCATCAATCCGTCAGAGACGATCTGTCATAAACACGTAAAATAAAAATGACTCATATTGGACTACAGAATACTGAAAAGAGAATGAGCATACGTCAGAACACTGTCGGTGTTTGTAAGAGGCAAGAACCACATCAAGGAGCTTTTACCGACGAGAACGTTAATTTTTAGCAAAATAAATTCACTATTGTGTTCTTATTAGTTTTTCTTTCTATTTCTCTACTGCACATGTAGATCACCATGCATAAAGCGTATAAACCAGTCTGCCCCTCTCCTTATGAGTAAGGGATTCCGTCACAATTACGATCGGTTGAATTACCTCAGACGCATTTTATTACATCTTTCACAAAAACAAATGAAGAAAAAGAAATGATAGAGATTAAAATAGAGACATATCACCAGACTTCGAAATTTTCCAATGCGATTAGAGTCCCGGGGAAGGCGATATTCGGAATCAGCGTGGTCGATTATCTATGGGTCCATGATTTTCTCGACCCGCAGGCGGGCGCCTTAGCCGTTGGGCCACGAGACCATGCTCTTCTTAATCTCATATTTCGCTCTTATCCTTATCTGCAAAATGACTAGTTTAAACGGATCAAAAATAAACATGTTTCACTAACTTTAATGAGAAAAGTATTTCTCCCAAAAGAAAGTAACAAAACCAATACCTAACTAGTTCTGAATCATTTCTAAAAGTAAGAGTAAAAGTTATATTTCACACTCCAGCCTATACTGCTCTAGTTACAGTATAATTTCAGTTATAAAGTAAATAAAAATACTTTCGTAGTACTTATACATCACACCATCCATTTTATTATAAAATATCGCTGTTAGAAAAGAAATTTTACATAAATTGATAACTCTTAAATCTATAGCGACGCCGCGTTAGATCGCTGCTCAGGTGAAACTCATCTTACAAATCATACAAGATCTGCCGTTTTCGAATGAAATCTTGTAACAAGATCTTACTGCATGAACTTACAAGATCTTGTCTTCGGATGTTACAAGATCCTGCGGAATCTTGAAGTTCTTGTTTTAAGATCTTACATAATCAGCTCATAAGACGTGATAAGATCTTACAAGGTCTTGTAACACGAAAGGATCTTACAAGATCTTGCCATGGCGGGATGCGACTTACATTTATTTCTTATCGCAAGATCATACGATTTCTTGTTATAAGATCTTATATGATTTTGCAAGAATCGATGACTCATTTTTACCACATGAATTTTGCTATGATATTGAGTATATATATAACACTTCTAATAAAACTTAGAATTTCCTTCTTTCTTTGTCTTCACAATCAACTGAGCGCAAATAAAGTGCATGGCTATAATCTAAGGAACGCGGTTAAATACGATCCTAAGGACGTTTGTGTCCTACTTATGCCAGAAAATATTATGAATAGAGAAAGATACTTTTTTAAGAGGATCTAGAGGAAATTTACAGAACAAGATCAGACGTATAATCTTATAAGATCTGATAAATTCTTACGTGATCTTATGAGTTCTTGTCAGTTCTTGCAAGATCATATGAGATCTTACGCTATGTTATGGTCTTACAAGATCCTACAAGATCGTGTAAGATCATTTTTCTTATAAAATCTTATAAGATTCTTTTACAAAGATATCATATAAAATCTTACAAGATCTTATAACAAGTCAAAAGATCTTACAAGATCCTTTGAAATCTTATGATTTCAGACCATATAAGACTATAGGAATATATGATATGGGTACTTCCGCACAGGTCCGCCCAGTATTACATGAGCTAAAAGCCGGGAAGGTTTGACTATATGCAATCGATAGTCCTACTAAGGGTATT